TCTGCTTTGTCTCAGAAGCCTAAGTCAGTTTGGGACACAATGCATTACTTTAACCTTCCTCTCTGGCTGGCAAATTTCAACAAAGCCAACCCAGTAGTCAAACTAAATCAAGTGCTCCCTTCTCACATAAAGGCAAGATTGACTGGTTGTGATTGTTATGAAATCTGATAATAGCTCTTTAGCTGTAGAAGATTGATAAGCCAGCTGTGACTACCAGTACCCTCGCTTTTGTCTGTTGATGGAATTTGACTATAGTCACAGTGCCCTATAGAATTATGATCAGACTGTTTGGTGACTAGCCTGCCTAAAAATAAGGCATGGAAACAGGAAGGAGGGATGAATTTTTTGACTGGTCTGTGACTGATCAAACAAAAGAAGGTTTAATAGTGTTTGGGCCCTTTCAACACAATCTCTGTACTTGACCCGGGTCAGACCTGGTGATTTTGGCAACCCTTTCACTCTAGCAAGAATCCAGAACAGCTTTTACATGGGTCCAGTGTGCTTTACATGTGTGAAATCCAATTCTAGTCAGTACCAGGGTCGAGAAAGGGTCAGGAAACTCTATCTGGATAGAGAATCCAAAATCTATGGCTGACCTGTGTTACAAATGGATACAGCCCGTGTTCAATGAGACCAGGTTTTGCTAATGGTGGACTCTAGTCAATGCTTGTTGATTTCAACACGGGTAGACAAATGTGATAGTGCGAAAAGTCATTTTGTGTGGTATGGAACAGAAAAAAAAACGAAGATAGCTGATTAACTTGAAAGTCAGCCTAAAGCACCATCTCCCATGTGTCTGTTGTTCATGCACGGAGTCCATTAGTGCTCGCCTATCAGTCTCAATTCCAATTTGCTTTGCTGTTTATTCAGGATCACCACTGTACGCTGCTCATTTCAGACCGGGCATGTACGTTGACTGCTGTGGCAGAACGTAAGTAACATTTGCGTCTCATTGCTGACTGTTAGAAAGCTATTGACTTGTTTTGACTTGTTCTAACCTTGACCGGAGTTTCTAAGGGGCCACATGTGGTTTGGAAACCATGATGTAAGTAACTTGTGTCTTCTTTTTAAGTTACAATGCCTGACTTTTGATACAGATCAGAGTCTGACTTTTCAAGTTTCTACCTTTATGAAGGATTCTACTGTTAAAGATTTGGAACAAAAACCTGGCCCTCTTTCTTTTTTTGCAGAAATTGTGCATTTCAAGTAATTTCTAGCAGTTTTTTAGTTATTTTAACTTTTTTGCTTGTCTCTTTTACTGGTCTTGAACAGAATCGACAAAGGTTTCCAGGGTGTGATGAAACGCTGGGGCATGAAGGGCCAACCGGCCAGCCACGGAGCCACTAAGACACACCGAAAGATGGGGGCATCAGGAGGAGAGGGGTGAGTAAAGGAACATTTTTTCTGAGTCTAAGAGCCTTTGTTATTTTCCATTGGACTTGGATCTGGCCATTATATTGACTGAAAGCCCACCCTCTGTCCAAAGTTTGCAAACAAGTACATTTTTGTAAAACAACAGAAAAGAAACGAGTGGTTTTTTAAATATATTATTTGTTTTGTCTATTTATTTAATGTTTTAGGGGGGGGGTGGAGGGTGAGAGAAGAGAGTATTTTCATTGTAATGCATTCATATCTTCCATCTGTGTGACCCTGGTTATCAGTCTAACGTACATGTATACATGTAGGCTGTTTTTTTTCCATGATTCTGAAAGTTTAGCAGAACTTTACTTTTTTAAGATGTCCTTTTTCTTTACAAGTGTCGAATTTTCATGAAGCTTTTTTGTCTTGATCAGAAAGACATGCACAGACATGTACTTTTAAAGAAAAAAAAGATTATATTTTATTATTATTAATTTTAAAGTTGAACAAAGAAATTGACTGGTTTGAACCTGCGACCTCCGGATTCTCAATCAGGTGCTCTACCAACTGAGCTATCCAGCCCAATTCTGGCTGTGCCCTGGATATCCGGAGCTCGCAGGTTCAAACCCTGCTCCAGTCAATATCTTTTCAACTTTACAATTGTTTAAATGTACTAGTCCATTCCATTTCCCGTGTGGTTCATTATTATTATTCTTATCACACACTGATGTTGCATTTTTTGTTTCGCGGACAGAATTATATCTCTTCGACAGTCTTGTGACCTGATGTTTGTTTTGCACCAACATTAGTTCAAGTACATGTCTCTGAGTACAACTTAGTTTCATTTTACAATAATTTTTCTATTTCAGAGTCCGGGGAGGATTTGGCCTGGTAAGAAGATGCCGGGTCACATGGGCAACAAAATGAGCTGGACTGTCGGACTTAAGGTCAGTGTGTTACCTACCCAGAAATGCCAATAAATTTGGCCACCAACCTTCAAAAAGCTGTTAAATCAGCTCCGCTAACCATTGTGGAGCGCTGTGGTCCAACGTTTACTGTGTTTGACTCAAATGTGACGATGCATGGGTTTAAACCCTGATGGAGAACATGGTGCTTGTGCTCTTGGGCAAGACACTTTACTACAATTGCCTCTCTCCATCTTAGAGTATAAATGGCGGGTTTGTAGTTTCCTTGTTTTTAATGTGTGAATAACATGAATCCCTTATTTACCTTGATAGAGATATGCCCAGAAAATTCCAAGAATACTTGATTTGAACTGTATTTAAGCTAATGGACGGCATTAGGTATACTCAGAATTTTCTGGGTAGCACTACCAAATTTCCCAAGACTGCATTTGATTCATCTTGTTGGTGCAAATTCTACAGCCACAGCGGCTTTACCACGCTCATCTTGTGACCGGCTGTGCGAATATAGAACCAAATCCATCAGTCATGCAGTCTATGTCCTAGACTTAGTTGGGCAGATAGAGGAATATGAATATTTGGGGGAATTGTGCCTTTGATGATACAAGCATGGCATTTGACACACAGTCAGAGCATGTCTTAAGAAGGATATTAGGGTATAGGGCCATCGCAGATTTTTGTCCATTGAAAAAAATAAAGGTAGAATAACAAGCAAATTTTCAAAATGGCTGCCATTTAACAATTGTTGACTGGTGTGATGTAGGATATGCCATTTTAACACCCGAGGGGCACATGGCATCCTCGGCTTCGCCTTGGGTGCTATGGGCCCCAGGGGGGCTAAAAAAAGGCATATCCCACATTACAGCAGACAACAATTGTTTTGTTATATCGTGTCAATAACTCGAAAAGATAAATGGTTGTAACTTACTGTGTGAGAAATAAATTAATCACTGCGATGCAAACTTTGATCACTGAAGGTTTGGATATCTGCCGGACATGAGACCGAGCGTTTGACCTTGCAGTTCTCATTGCGCACAGCTAGCGCGCCAGCACGTTCCTTACGCGCAACGCGCACACATGATTGCAGAGCGATATCACCCTCAGTACGTGACATGCATTTTTATTCTCCAGACACATGGCCGTCCTAGACCAATGAAATTACAGTATCCAAGCACACGATATAACAATTACTGACGGGGGTGACGTGGAATATGACAACACCTGAGGGGCGCATATAGCACCCAAGGCGAATCATCAAAGGCACAATCCCATCACCCATTTGTCGTACTACAACCATCATTCTGAAAAGGATCTGTTTATTATTGAGTTTCTCTCCTACCACTCTCGCAGGTCTGGCGAGTCGACACAAAGCACAACATCCTCTACGTCGCCGGCTCCGTCGCCGGACGCAAGTACGGTTACATCAAGGTCATAGACAGCGTACTGCCCAAGAACAAGAAAGTCAAGGCCCCACCGCCGTTTCCCACGTTCTACGAGGACGAGGAACTCGAGGAAGAACTGTACGATGAGGAAATGTTCAACTTCAGCGACGCGAGTATTGAGTACCCAGAGATGATGAGGCAGAAAGTTGAGGGTTACGGATTGTGACTTGTTTGGGAAACCAGAACTATGAAAGTTTGGAAAATGATGGACTTTCGCATCAGGATGATGAACATTTCACAAACAAGGATTAGCCTTACATCCAGGTGGAATTATTTGAACTGCATGCTCAGTGTTGAGTTAAAGGCCAGTTCATACTGTGAACATTTTTATAACAGGGACAATTAATACATCAAAAATAATACCATATAGTTTGACCTTATTAAAGTCACCTCGTTTTTGCTTCAATTGAGAACTCAAAAGGCTTCGTGAAAGCATAGAACACACAGTGTTGGTAATCAATGCTATGGGCTCCATGCACAAGTACCCCATCAACGGCAAGAAAAGGAGAGTTGGGGAGACCTAGACTGGTTCCCGATCCATCCACTGTGTATTTTGAGTGTGTCCAAAGTTATTGGAGGTGGGAATTAGTCTCCGACCATTGCAGGTTGAATTCCAATGTATTCTCGCGCCGACGACGCCCATGCAAAGACGTGGTCGCTATAGCTTTGGCACGTTCAAAAAGTTATGCGTACTTCGCGTGCAAACCGGTACAGTACAGAACGCTCACCCTGTGTGTCCTGTCCACGGAGCTCTCAGAGTTAAAACGCCTTCTTTTGTTGGCACACGGAGCCCATACCAGTGGTTTGTAACGTTTGTGGAGATGACAACTTGGAAAGCAGTTTCGGAGTGGTGTGTAGATTCTTTAACCCTAAAATTGCTAGCATCCACTGGGAACCTTCCTGCATCTACCACTATCTGACTGTAACCCTCACTCTCTGGCTGGCAATTCAACAAAGCCATCCAGTAGCCAAAATCAATCAAGAGACTGTTTCAACAGTTAAGAGCTCCCTGTTTACAACAAAACAGGATTGACTGGCTGTGACTGTTTATGTAACTTGATACAGCTTTGCCTTGACTTTTGGAGATTGATAATCCAGCTGTACATGTACCTTCCAGTTACCTGCTTTTGTCTGTTGATGGTTTTTTTTATTCTAGTTGCATTGTTTATAAGAAATGTGATCCGACTGTTGGTGACTAGAGCCCGTGTATAAAGACACAGCAGGGGAACAGAATTGATTTTTAAGACTGTCTGTGACTGTTCAGAAAGCAGGAGGGTTTACGCAAAACTGACACATTGCGGGCGTACATGTATGCTCGGGTATGCACATGAAATGAAGTGCGCCCAACCAATTTCTATATGCCCAAGTACCCCTCGCTTGGTTCAATTGAGTTAGGAGGGACTCGTAAACAATGACGATAAGGGTCCGTGTCCATTCAGAATAAGATTAATTGTACACACATGTCCCCCTCACCAACAGAAATTCGGTTGAGTGGTAGCGCATTGCTACATCCTCATTACTCATCTCTCAAAGCCCTGGTAGTACTCTGAAGTATGTATTTGAGACGGTCTTCAAATCCATCTGCGTGATGACAATACAGGACTTCACAAAGCCCGCCTCACCCAGACCTTCCTGAATGAAGATGGCTTGCCTTGATGTAACACCCACACTACTCACCATGCAGACCTAGCACCATGCAACATCTGGTTGCTTCCTAGGATTAATTTTTAACCTGTTAACCAGTCGACGCCGGGACTATTTTGACAAGAATGGAACGAGGCGCGAGATTATTTTTCACTCGACCTCAAGCCAGGCGGGTTGAAGCCATCACCCTCGGGCAGCGCACTTATATTCTGGCCTTGCTCGCTATGAGTGGGTCGCTCCCTCTTTTAACTATTATCTGTCATCCATTCCAAGTACCCCAAAAGCTTTGCGTGGGTACACGTCATCTGGCGCGAATTGGTTAATATGAAAAATACAAGATCATAATTACAAGTACATTGTATTTCACAAAATGTTTGTTTTTCTAACTCAGTGGTCTGATTAATGGTTATATGATAAATGAGTTCCATACTTTTTCATTGTCCACATGAATAGAATATTATTGTTGTTTTAAGATTAAAACGGACAAAGTATTTCAGAGGCAACAAGTGAACATGATCATTTGGTCAGTAACAAAGGTTTACAGACGGGTAATATGATTCTTTTCGAGATGTCATTATCACATAATCACAGTAGCTTTACAAGTCTATCAACACCCCCCCTCCCCCCACATCACTACAATTGATAAACCCTCACTAGAAAAATCTTTATTTTTCGAATTATTCATAAAACTGTTATGTCCAAAACTTCTGGTGCATGAGTCAACAATCAACAGAACATAAAATTTGTATATAAACCCATTGTCATTAATCCTTTCAGGCACGACATCTCTGCGACAACAGAAACAAAACACATGATTTTCCACATAATACATTTTTGTAAAACAGAAAAGTGCATGAGTATAAGCTGCATTGATTATTCAAGTAATTTGTTACTTTTGAAGCACGAATCAACGGAGCATAACATTCATATCAATTTTCTTTAATCTTTTCAGGCACAAAATCTATGTGACATGCACATACATGTACATGTATATAAAACATAATTTCAAACAAATTTTAAAAGTCACTTTGCAATATACATGTATAAATTACAAGCATAACATTTTAGAGAGCACATAAAAAAATCATTACTGTTTAAAAATTTGCAGTTAGTACTTTTTTTTAATAGCTACCTTTCAGTTCATCAGGAATCCTAATTGCCTTTATTCAAGTCATTTGAAAAAACGACAACAACATGGTTTGCAACGGTTAATAAACTGGACGTCACAATTATTCGTTTCAGCAAAAATAATTTGTTGCAGCCATGTAGACTCACCAGTACTACTGGTACCTTAAACCAACTGTCACCTTAACGGATTCAAATACATTATTTGCATCCCAAGCCCCTCCTTCCAAGTACCCATACTCCAATCTAGTACCCATACTCCAATCTAGTACCCATACTCCAATCTAGTACCCAATCCAATAATTTTGATGATATACACAAAACATTGTTGTAGTCATGATTCTGGCCAAAAGTAATTAAAAACAAAATCCAGTTATACAAATAAGTAGGGATGAACAACAATAAAGTAATGCTTATTAGGCCATTCAACATTGATTTTTAGGTTTTCATCACTTCCGCCTCGATTTTCACTCCCTCGGTTTTTTTTATATTTTCTGAGTGTGTTTTTTTCCTAAAGAAAGAGTAGTTTCCAGACAAGTTTCTCACCAAATCCACAGGCACGGTCGCACTGATTTGCACGCAAACATTGTGCATGACATACTGAGGTGTTATGCATGCCATAGCCAGGCGATGTGGTATTGATACGACAACGCTCTCGGCACCATACTGTGAGCGCGTGTTGTACAGTACTCGTGGTCGTTAAGTTCTTAAAGTTCAATGTTTTACATATAGCTGGCAAGGGTAGGCCAATTGTTGTGTTGTTTCTTTGGACCCTGCATCATGCCTTTCGTAATCCCCCAGATTACACATGTTACATGTGGAGTAAAGGTTTTCAAGCCATGGTTTGGGATTAATGTCCAAGGACGCTTTCCGTGAATGAACTGTACAACAGCTTTGCCGCAGGAATTTATATAATAAAATATAAATTCCTCTCCCGACCAATTTTTTTTCAACCTTGAGTGATTAAAACTAAAAACCAATGTTGATCAATGGCCTCATGTAAAAAGTTGATTTCAACAGTTTGTGACTTGTGAGGACATTACTACAAATCGGCAACACTTCAAACCACCCTAATTCGTGTACGTGTATCTGCCAAAGGTTTGATGCAATGTATTAAGTAGTCTCAATGGAACATCTGTTTTTTTAAATGACAGTGCATAAAACAAAGTTCACAAATGCCAGTTTCATACAGTCCTGATTAAACAGATTATCGACAATCTATAGGAGTGTTTGTAATGACCTGTCAATTTGGAAATATTTTCCCTTCTGTTCAAATGTTATAAGATTATAGATACAACAATGTAAATCAGAAGGAAAGCCAAACCAAGACGCAGTAGCAAAGATGCCCCTGACTTCTTCTCTTGGACAGCAGGGAGGCGTGTCTTCAGAGGTGCGTTGACCCTCTCCCACATGGTGTTAATGGCTTCCCTGGCTCCCGTCCACTTCCCTGGTCCCATCAAGCGGTACTGGTAAGGCAAGCAGGGTCCAAAGTAGTAGCAACGAAGAGCCAGTGCTGGGTCAGACAGGAACAGCTTCAAGATATCAGGCTTGACTCCGAACTCGATGGCGACGCTATCCATGTATTTGATCCAGTCCACCTGGATGGTGTGACGTTGGGATTTCACGTATCGCTTACTCATGTCGTCTTTCGCTTTCTTGATAGATGCTTCCATCTCCGGACGAGACGGAAGGCTTGCTTGGCCAGTGAAGACCTGGGCGGCCCATCGGCTCTGGAGCTCGGAGATTGGGTGAATGGCTCCCAGAGGTTGAACCAAACCAATGGTGCAGATGGTTGGGTGCTTCAGGTCAGCTGGAAAGACGTACTTGTACAGCGACACCTCATTCTTGATGACTTGGAAGAAGGGCAGTCCATGAACGGATAGCTGAATGTGTACCCAGTGCCGAGGATGACGCAGTCGATGTTATCCTCAAAAGTCCCGTCCTCGAACTCGACCCCAGTTTCAGTGAAGCGGGCGACGTTGGGCTTGACGATCACTGCACCGCTTAGAATACGATTTGGGAGGTCATCGTTGACAAAGGGGTGGGCACGGAAAGGGTCATGTGCTGGCTGCAGTCCGTACTTGGCGTGATCAAATTTAGCCTGCAGCTTCCTCTTTACCATGGTGTTTTTTAAAACTTGTGGGGAAAATGTCTACGAATCGATTTGCAACCACAATATCGATGGGATTGCCGTAATCACCCACACGATTGAGGATCCAAGTTCCACTCCTTGTACTCAGAAAGACCTGAAAGCAGGAAAAAAAAACATCAGATCGAATATTACTTGTCAAACGGAGGTTATAGAAATGTATTCAAATACTAACGAACAGTCCCTGAATGCTCTTTTCATGAGTCAACCTGCTACGAGTATATTACGTTTACATGCCCAACCCCAAATAGACCTTCCTGAAGTTGCCAA